ACCTCATCCCGCCCCCTTGACCTGTCCGTCCTCCCTGGACTGACCTACCTCCTCCCTACCTCCCCACCTCCACTCACCTTTACTGGCTCCATCCCCGCCACTTTGACCTGTCTGTTTCCTCTCCACCTATCTTCTCCTCTCTGCATCTTCTATCCGCCTCCCCCTCTCTTCCTATTTATTTCAGAACCCCCTTCCCCTCCCCCATTTCTGATGAAGGGTCTAGGCCCAAAACGTCAGCCTTCCTGCTCCTATGATGCTGCTTGGCCTGCTGTGTTCATCCAGCTCTACACCTTGTTATCACAAAACAGTTGTTTAAAGCTTTCACTTTTTTTGGTTTCCATTATCATTTCCTTACACACACTCTTGAGGATGAACACTAGCATCTCCTGCTCAAATACTTGTCAAAATTATACCAGCTTTTATGCATCTATCCAGCTTTTCCCATACTCTGCTTTCTGCCTCTTTATTATCAATTTCGTCATGCTTTGCTCATTTTTAAAGTTTCCCCAAACATCTGACCTACCATTAATCTTTTTCAAATTAGTACAGTTTTTTTTTTAGATTATTGCTATTATATGTTTATGAATCCTTCCCAAAGAACCACACTTTCTCTCTGCTAATAATTTTGTTCAGAACACATTTTGTACCTTTAGCACATAGACATCATGCAAATATTATCAAAACGTTTAATATATGAGCTAGCTGAGAAAATGTTTAACTCTTGTAATGTAAATCAATTCAAATGATTTTCAATGAGAAATAAAAGTTCATTCCTGGACCTTTTGGAAATGAATGAGAGACGAACGTGGAAAGTTGGGAGTAAGCTCAACAGAACAAGAGATAGTGTAAGAATGAGTGCTTAAGCCTCTCTGGCACCTGTTTAACCAATCCTTAAGGAAACATAGGAAAATTGAATACAGAATTTCACCAAACATTTAATGAAGTACTATTTAAGAGGTTCATGAAAAAGACGAAAGCACGTGAAATTAATCAGAAATTGTAGCAGGGTTATGATTGAAATCCAGATAATAAGGTGTAAAAGCAGAATAAAATCACTTAAACTGGAAGCATAATCCATAGGGCCTGGGCCAGGTTAACTCTTCATATTTTCAATATATGTGATGTGACTTTAACTATTGGGAGAATATTAACCAAATTTGCTGGTGACACCAGATGAGAAGTAATGGTAAATTGTGGTGAATTTACATTAAAATATTGGATATTCTGGGCAGATGAGTGACAGATGCAACAATGTGGAAAATGTGTAATAATGTATCTTGAAAACAATATAAGAAAATAAGTAGAATTCAAATTGCAACATCTGTAAATGTTAATAGTGGAATGCTCCATGGATCAGTGCTGGGACCTCAATTACTTACAAACTACAGTCTTCATATAAAGCAACTGGGCAAACGTAGTCAACTTTGCATTGATATGAAGGTAGGCAAGTTGTGAGGAGTGCACAAATTGTCTGCAAAATGATATAGTTAGGTTTAGTGAGTGGGATGATCTTTGGTAGATGAAGCATAATATGAGAAAATTCAAGATTGTTGACTTTGATGGAAAGAAGAAAAGCAGAATATTCTTTAAATGGAACGAGACTACAGAATGCTGTGGTATAGAAGGATCTGGTAGTCCACATACACGAAGCACAAAAAGTTAGCAGGAACAGATATTAATCAGGATAGCAAATGGAATGCAGACTTCAGGGCAAGGGGAATGGAGTTTAAAAAAATCCCAGTTCTGAGGAAGGGTTACCAGACCTGAAATGTTAATTCAGATTTTTTTCTTCACAGATGCTGCCAGACCTGCTGAGCTGTTCCAACAACTTCCGTTTTTATTTAGAAAAAATGGAAGCCTTGCTACAACTGTGTAAGGTATGAGGATGAAATGAAAGAAGAATCATATGGCTTGCTCTGACTACTGCTGGCAATAATTATCGGTGACTTGAAGGTTAAAGGTTAAAGAGCGCGGGGTGTCAGGTGGAATCACTAGCTGGTAGGTGCAAGAAATTAAAATCTGTAGACAATGACAAAATTAACTGTGCTGATCATGGATACTATTAGTCTCCAACTCTTACAGGCTTATAACTAATTATACTTTAAACTGTGTATTTAATGCCATGATAAATTGGAATTGAGGGTCTAGGAGGTAATTAATTAAAATATCTACCATGGTATAATATCCATGTGATTCATGTTGTCATGGAGATGAGCTTTGGAATGGGAAGCTTACAAAAAAAATATCAGTCATATCCAATACAGGGTTTCTAATATAGACATAAAACTCTCAGACAGAAATCAGTGTTCAACCTTCTCAGAAGCGAACAGTGAGAGCTGGAGACAGCCAGTCTTACATCTGAAGCAGTCAAAATACTGAATTTATTCTTCACCATGCAGAATGAGGTGAGAGCTCATGCTCGGTTTGAAGAGATCGAGTTCAAGAGGATTTAAAGACAGTTTGAAAATTCACTTAATGGGCTCGAGGGAGTAAATCTCCCTATAACCCTCACAGTGAAAGTCAACTCTATGATTAGGAGTTACCCAGCTGGGAAAAGAAAGGAAACAGGCCATTGGAAGTGGAGAATAGTTTTGGACTGATTCTGAGCTTAAGGTACAGTGTAGGTTTTTTGGCAGTGTTAAAGGTCACATGGAGAACCTTTACAATAATTTAGAGTAAAAGATGCCAATAGAAATAACATTTAATCAATGTTGTTCTTAGTTTGTTTATTAGTGTGAATGTCTTAAAACTTGAGATCTTGTTGTCATGATTCTTGCAGTCATTCACGGAAAATTCAAAATGCTTTTTACATGTTATTGATCTATATGGGGGCCGTAACACAAAATCAAAGAGTTCATACTTATTAGCTCAAGATGGTTAGTTAGACTGGAGTTACAGTATAATGTACAGGTATGGACACTCATTTAGACGAGGGATAAGAATCAAAGGAGAAATTCTGGTATAGTTTTATTTGAATCTCGCTTTTATTACAATTGTGAGATTTTGTTTTCCTACTACAATTGAAAAAAATTAGGTCTTCAAGAAAATGAAACAAGGTGACATCTAGAGCACATTTAAACAAGAAAGTAGGAATCTTCACCTTGAAGATGGTTATGATACAGAAGTCTCTGCACAAGCCATTGAATAAAAGAAAATTAGACTATTAAATTTAAGAGAAATGTTAAAAAAAAAGTCATGGAGTATGAAGTTACATTATTGATCATATAGGGAAAAATATTAGCACAAACTTAATGGGCCGAATGACCTGTAATATTTTATGGTTCTATAAACAAAGAATGCACAGAGCAAAAAGACCATTTGCCCAATCTACCCGCAAACATACATTTTTGTTTCATAAATTATATACTAGACTTCATTTATTTAATCTACTAATGAGAAAAACAAGCTGCATTGAATCACCAAAGATACGTAATTAAATTCTGGAATATCCATCTAACTTTATGTCCTATGTCTTAACAGGTGGTTGCAAAGGCACAGTGGCTCAGGAATAATTGCTTACTACAGAATATTTGATTGTGTGTCTTCATAATTATTCTTATCCTTCCTTTCTCCACTGGAAACAGATTCATCTCAGTAATTATGGAGAATCTACAATGTTAGTTGTATCTTGGCTACCAATTATATCATTTAATTTCTGAAGATTCCTACAAATTTGGAAAGTTGGCAACACTTGAATTTTTATTTGGATTGATGCCACTCCAGAGTTACATTGGTGTGAAAATCATAGCAAAGAAAAAAATTAAACTCTAGTTGAACTGCATTATATGAAGCTGAACAACATCTGTTTGCTTATGAGTTGTGAACATCACTGCCAAGATTTGCATTTGTTACTCATCCCTAATTGCCCTTGAGAGGTTTCAATAGAGATAATGGTTCGAGGGAAGAAAAAGCACATGAACTCCATAGGATATTATTTATTCTAATAAACTCATAATCCTTATTAGTGAAGCCTCCTTCAATTTACTATTTAAATAAGATTTGCTACAGGCAACACAGGCCCACAGTTTTCTAACTAAATTAAATGTATATCAATAATGCAACATTTCTCACAGGCATTTGTCAGCTCAGAATGAAACATATGCACATTGCTGCCTTTGAATGATATTAGCACAATTCTAACTGCCAGATAAATTAATCAGAACTACCAAGTCAGTATAGAGCATTAAAATATTTATACAGTAACAGGCTATGTATACGTTAGCAGAAGTAATGTTCCAACTAATTGGATTATTGGTGAAGGTTTTATTGAGAAATTGAAAAGATGAATTAGGTATGTAGTGTTGTTTGTACATTCATTTACACACCTGTACTATCTTCATAAACTACAGTGATTGTCTTCCACTTGTAGTACTGCACCAGGTCCAAGATGGCTCGACTGATAGATGTATATTCTGGATAGAGATTAACGTAGAATGATTCCTTCTGATCCACAATTCGATGTTTCCAACGGGTCTGAACGTGTGGAACTTCCATTGCATTACAGATAGATTGTACTGCACTTATAGAAGAACTGTGAGATGGTCCAAATACAGCCGCTACTCCAAGTGTAAGCTGATCGCAAGCTGGTGGGTTTTAACGAAACAGTTAAGTTTTATTATAAATCTGACACATATTCATTCTAATTGAAAATTAAGTTTTTTCAAGGATATAGATACAGAAGGTAAATCACTTGAAATAATAAAAGCACTCACCCCTCCTGGAAGCTTCAAAGCTGTCATAAAGATTGATTCTTTGTACATCATATGTCAGGGTGGTATTAGGCATTAATGTCCTATTTCTGTTTATATTATTGATTGCAAATTTGAAGGCCATCTCTTCAATGCTAATAGGCTCATTTTCAGTAGTTTCAAAAATACCTCCTAAAAGAAAACAAACATTGTTCAACTTGTGCTTTTGTGTTTTTTAAGAAATGAATGACATTCATTTTATTACAACTGTGTAATTATAGTCTTATACATTTTTCAAAGATACTAAAATGACGACTCACAGGAGACCATTGACAGGCTTCACTTAGAAGCCATCTTCACTTAGATGTGCCATCTCAGCAACAACCACAAAGACAAGCATTCAGAATTAATTTAACCCTTGAAAACTACAATAAGTCCTTCTAAAGTTGTGAGAATTCAAGGCTTCTGAGAAAAACTGTAGGTTGTACACACTCCCATAGGGAATTTAACAATGATTGATTTTGCTTTGTGCGTCAATAACTCTTAAGATATCTACTCTGTTATCACCTAAAGTCTGGATATATAAAAGATAGTCTAAGATAGCATTATAAACAGAACACTAAGAAGAACTCTGATAGACAGAGAGAGGGTTCTCAACAGGAAGAGTGAAAAGACAGACAAACCCAACTAAGGGCTGTTGTACCTAACCAGGCTCCCAAAGTCTTCAATTCGTACAGATACAAACTAAAATATAAGGAAAGAGTGGTGGATGCAGTTACAATGTTTAAAAGACATTTAGATAAGTTCATCAATAAAATAGGCTTGGAGGGATATGGACCAAGCACAGCAGGTGGGACTAGTTTAGTTTGGTAACATGATCGACGTGCACTAAAGGGTCTATTTCCATGCTGTATGACTCTATGACAGTCCCTCCCAGAACCTGTTCTGCAAAGAACACCTTTGGGAGCATCTTCCACCTATTCAACTACTAAAGTCATCATGCCTGCTGAATTCTGACATCAATTTTCAATCCATAAACCTCAAAAAGTGAATCTTCAACCAAGTAATACTGAAATAATAACAAACAGCTCTTTACAAAAAAAAACCTGACATTTAAAAGCCATTTTAAAAGGAAGACAGGATGTTGAATCTCCATTATGACAAAAAGAAAGGAAGTATTGAGAACACTGGCTGAGCATTTTGAATTCCATCCTGCATCACGTCAGACAGCAAATGCTGAATTGGAACCATAATTGGGATACTTTAGCCCAAACTGAGCTGGAAGAAACGAGAAATTGATCTGGAATTTAAAGCCTGTGAACAGGAGTAAGGAAAGTCTCAACAAGAACGGGAACAGTTAGATCGGCAAGTTTAAGAAAAGGAGCTAGAGTTCTAAGATAATGAAGAAGGTCTAGTGTTTCAGGCCCTGAAAGAAATGGAAGAATGAGGAGGGAAAAAAAAGTGGGTGGGGAAGCGTGCAGGAAGGGGAGATGACAGGGATTTCTAACCAGGCAAGCTAGAACTGAAGCTGTAGGCTCAGAGAGATAAAAGACAGACAACTTGAAGCTGTGAGGCAGAATCACGTTCTGCCTAATAATAGCATAAAACACTGTGATCCTGAAACAGGCCTCAAAGACATAAAATTCCCCCAAATTGTTCCGATAGTCCAATGCAGGTTAAGTGGATTGGCCATGCTAAATTGCCCATAGTGTTCAGGGATATACAGGCTAGGTGGGTTAGACATGGGAAATGTGGAGTTACAGGGATTTGGTGGGAGGGTCTGGGTGGGATGCTCTTTGGAGAGTTGATGTGGACTCGATGGGCCAAATGGCCTGCTTCCACGTTGTAGGGATTTACGATTCTATGAAATTCCAAGATAGAGATGTTGAATGCTTCTTCACTGCTTTCAGAAAAGTAGGAGATAGACCACGTTTATCTCAAAATGTGTGGACACTGATGATCTAGAGTCAGTTCACAGAAAGAGCCCAAGAGATCTTATCCACCTTATCTCCTAAAATGATTACTATTTACAAACAGATTAAGGAGGCAAGCTGAAATACTTATGAGCTTGTGCTGGAAGCACATCGCAGCAGATATGAAACTCACATAAGAAACCTATATAAATGTATCCGGGATTTGAAAGAATCAAACAAAATTGTGTTCAACTAATGGGTACGATGTCTAAAAATAAAGCTTGCTTGACAAGAGAATAAGAGAATTGGTGCTGTTAGATGAGTTCAAAAATTGTCGCTTACAATATTAAAATGTGCCTGAAAAACAAAAGTTACCTCAGCATGCCTAGCTGCTGTAATGGCCAAGAACTTTGACCTAACTGTCACCATTGAATCAGAGCAGGTATGAGTCAAATGGGTCTGTACCAACAGGGAAAGGAGAAAAGGCAGAAGGAAAGGAACTAGATCGTAGTGGAAAGAAGAGTGAGGAAACAGAGTGGAAAGGCCAATCACCAACTTTTAAAAAGAAAAATGTAAGTGGCAGAGTTATAGGGCTATACTGTCTGCTTCAGTGGTGACAAAGAATATCACATAAAGGAGCATTGTTGGCATACATAGAAAACCATTGGTGACATTTCAGCACAACCCATACCCATTGCTACACATATAGTCAATCTCTGTGCAAATACCAAAAGGAAGGTATGGAAACTACAGGACTTCATGCAAAGGAGAAATAACACCCTATGCTTCTGGAGAACAGGGATGTTATTTGCTTGCAGAGACTGCTGGCTGGGAAAATTGAGATTTTCCCATATAGGCGCAAAGCAAATTCAAGCATATTAGTTAAAGGACCAACCAGAGAAGGTGTTGAGGTACCGTTAGTGAAAATACATTTAAAGATTGAACTAGTTGCCAGGCTGGTGTCAGGAGGGACTATCTGAAACTTAGTCATGCCAGAAGTCAATCATTTGTTCAGAAATGACCTGAAAGGCCAGATGGTGCTACCTCCCCAAAACCCAGAATTCATTAAGTTGCAGATGGCTGAAAAGGGTTCAGAAGCTATAGGGGAACAATACAATATACGAAGGTGAGAGTGTGACAAGAGAAATTAAACAGCAACCAGAGAAATTCCCAAACAAGTGAGACAGTTAGGGAATTCCCTCCTGAGTTGAAAAGCCTGCAGAAAGTCAATTGGCAGACAGGAGGGCCAAAGCCATTGAATGGAAAGAAACAACCATATCTGTCAGTGTTGAGTTCCCAAATAAAGTGGCAGAAATGGAGGCAACCGGACTCAGACTAGAAGGGTTATTTAAAACGTCCATGATTAGGTAAAATGATTTTCAAACTTAAAGACATGTTCAAAATATTGGAGAAGATATTCAGAGCTGCCTGTCCTGCTGAGAGTTTCCAATAATTTCTTTTACATCCCATTTTTCCAGCAGGTTATTGTCATCTCATAATTTTAAGTGTTCAATTTTCCTAGACTTCAATATGTATCCACTACCTTTCCTTTTTCTTCTGAAATTTACCTTTCTGAACTGATTAACCTATCCTGAATCTTTCAAGAGCTGAATTTGAATTGAGTTATTGCTGTGTGATCTGTCATGTTTCTAGTGTCCAGTCTCCATGGGCCAAATGTGTTTCTTATGTGGTATATGTCTTTTCAGATCTGGGAATCTACCATGTAGTGCCTTTTCACCAACTGAATTCCTCTTTTAAACAAAGGAGCAGTGGTAATTGAGACACTGTGATCTGGCTACTGCAAGTTCTTTCTGATAATATGTTCAGTTGTCCCTCATGGAAGGTATGATTTAATTTCTATTTCCCTGCTCTTCTCAAATACATTATCCTAATTGAGTAAACTCCTATTAATATTGCTCCATGTCAGTACAGCACATCTCTTTTGAATTTCAACTTCCCCTCTTAAATATTATTCCGACTGTGTGGTGGCATTCAATCTTCACCTTTCTGTTTCTTTTTAAGTCACACTATCTTTTGAACCTGATGTCATATTCTTTGGGTCACTGTGAGTGTGTTGATAATGTCAATGATCTACTGCCACATTTCAAGTTACATCATAAATAGGCACATGCACCATGTACAAATGTGTCCATTTCTCCCTTTCTTTCAGAATCAATAGCATTGTAGACTGACCCTATGGCGGTTCATCTCTCTTTAAGCTTAAAATCAGTTTGGGCAATTTCAATTCTTACAATACTCTTTGGCCATCCTCCTCTGTTTCTGCTTGCTAATGGCTTTTACTGTTTCACTTCACAGCCTTTCCTCACTTCCCTACTGATCTTAATACTGGCCCCAGAAAATAGCTATTGAGATTCAGCTAGACCAAAAAATCCATTCCCATTACTTTCTGCTTTCAATCTATTGGTTAATATCGGACTGACAATTTTCCTTTCGTTTTGTCAAGCCTTGAATATAGCATCTTATAAAACACATTTGAGCATCCATAATAACTAGAATTACTACATCAATATACTCAATTATTGCTCAAAGAACTCCAGTAAGCTCATCAGGCACAACTTACTATCTTAAAAGCCAGGATCCCTATCCTAGATTAACCCAACTCTGAGCATATGCACAATATCTATTATATGTCACGGTCAAAACATTCAATTTCAAAATGCATTTAAACCTCTACATTACATTGCAAGACAAAATCATGTATGTCAACATCTACCTGCTTCAGTGTCACCATACGAACTATTCATCTTAATCCCAAAGGCCAAGTTAATACCTGGAACTTTCATTGACTGAAGTAGTTTGAAAAAAGGGGGAAAATAAACAGATTTGAGATGGTCAGAGGGGTAATCTGACTTACAGGGAGTTGGCTCAGTTTCCTGAAATCCATGTAGATTAAGCAAAAGCCAGTCTGAACCAAAATTAACATTTTATCCAGAAACATAGCATGTGTCAAAAAGGTCCCAACTCCTATCTGGATTTATGAGAGACTTCACATGTTGGAAACATCACCTACAATCACCAAGCCTGGACACATTGGGCTCAATAGACAAAATGAACAAACAGGTTGCCATTTCAAGGATAAAAACAGAAGTTGCTGGAAAAGTTCAGCAAGTCTGGCAGCATCTGCAAAGTAAAATCAGAGTTAACATTTCAGGTCCAGTGACCCTTCCACAGAACCGAGGAACTCACCAGTTCTGAGGAAGGGTCACCGGACCTGAAATGTTAATTTTGATTTTTCTTCACAGATGCTGCCAGATCTGC